GACACCATGAAACCACACATGTGAATAACACCATAACAATAAAACATGTGTCTATAACAGTGAGATTTAAGTGAGTATTCAGTGTTCTCTCTACAGATGTTGATGTTTTCTTTGCCTAATTGTCTCAATCGTCACCTCTCAGAGAGCTGGAATCTATCCGTTGCTGAAGATGAGCTGCTGGAGACGAGGCCTGAACCCATTTCTGTCGTACTTCACTGCTGGCATGCTGTACTGTGGAGGACAGACAGGAATATCAGAGAAGACAAAAGCAAGACACAGACAGCAGGTGAACTGTAATTCTAGTTAACCTTGATAACTTCGCCTGGGTGTAACCTTTGGGGAACACCCAGCCGGTCCCAAGCCCGGATAAAGGAGGAGGGTTGGACATGGGGTTTACACTCCCATCCCGTTTAAAAAAATAACTTGTTACAGAAACAACAGAACAAAGAACATTCACCCTGAGATAGGAAGGGTCCTTCTCAAGAGGATGTATGACACCGTGTAGGGAAAGCCACGAGTCAATGGAAGCTACAAGGCCGACCCCTCTTCTATGGACTAGGACTATCAATGGAATGTGAACATGGAATCTGAGGACCATGTATGAGACAGGAAAAACATCACAAATAGTGGCAGAAATGAAAAGCTACCACCTCACACTGCTTGAGCGTATATCTTCAGAGAAGGTGCAGCGCTGTTCTAAAAAAGGGCTGATTTCAACTTCACAACAACGTGCTTGTGGTGATTGCGTTGTGTTTAGTGTATTTTTTCTATATGGCTGGAGTTGTGCTCTGAGTTTTTCGGGCTGCTTGGAGGAGGACGCTCTGCACTGGCACAGCTGCAGCTCATCTCATCATTATGCGCTGGATAAAGCCACCGTTCCACCTGTGCTCCAATGCCAGATGATTGTCAACTCCACCAGTGGTACATCCGGCTGCTTAGCTTGTACATGTGTGTCTTCCGAAGTCATCTCGAGTTTATGAGTAACTTCATTCCCTTGTGTTTCACCAGCATCTCCTCCACCAGCTCCAGCGTGCAGCTTCTCCAGCTCGCTACACCAGCCCTTTTTGTGTGTCCACGGAATCATGAGTTTGGATTGTCCCTTGGCACGAGCGCACCAACCCCAGATTCCTTCACCTGCCTCCCGGTGCCCCACACTCCCTGGTTTCCCTGAAATAAACCTAATTAGCCTTTACCTTGTTCTCGGTTCGTTTTG